TGTACATTAAATATGTATGCAATACTGTGCGACTACGGGGCAAGGAGTCTTGGATTTAATTCCATTCGAACTAAGTATTACTAAGTATAAAAAAACTCAGTAAGTGTAGTCAAAACTGACGGACTAAATAGATTTTTAATTTTCACACCCCGTCATCATCTCTTTTGCAAGTGCGTATACGAAGCCGACCTTTCAGCAGTGAAGATTAGCGTCGATGGGGCTGTGAAGGGAAACATCGTGAGGAAACCTGGGCTTATACATTCTAATTATAAGTTTGAAATCGCCAACTCACATTGAGCAAGCGTGGTGATTAATGCTCAAACCTTCTCCGTGTGAGAAGAGGCCTTTGGTCAGCAGTGGGCATTTATAAGCTGTTGATGATGATGATGATGATGATAACATAACATCATACATAACATCACGCCTTTTCTCCCCAAATGGGTAGGCAGAGGTGCACACAGAAGTAACACTCACTTTTTACTATTTATGTTATGAATCCCATGTAATAAGTGTGGGATAAATAAAGTGTGGGAGAGCCATGCTTCGGCACGAATGGGCCGGCTCGACCGGAGTGATACCACGGCCTCACAGAAAACCGACGTGAAGCAACGCTTGCGTTGTGTTTCGTCGTGTGAGTGAGGTTACCGGAGGCCCAATTACCTTCCCCTTCCCCAATCTCCCCAATCCCTGAATCCCCAACGATCCTCAAACTCCTAATCCCCAAAAAGCCGGTGACGCACTTGTAACGCCTCTGGTGTTCTAGGTGTCCATGGGCGACGCCGATTGCTTACCATCAGGTGATCCGTCTGCTCGTTTACCGGCTTATATATTCCATAATAGAGGGTGAGCCTATTGCCATATACCGGGCACATTTGCAGGCTCAATGCTACTACTGAGAATTTTTAGAAACCTAGTAATACTTTGCCGACCCGAGACCCCTTGCCCGGCAGTCGCACTTGTGATCACTTGGCCAACGAGGCAGTCAGTGAAGATGATGTAAAATTATTTAATTTTGTCAATTGCGTTTTTGTTTTCAGATCACTTTTGGATTCAGAAGCAACGCTGGAAAATATAAAAAAAATATGATTCCGAGTTTTTTTCTTATTAAATATAAAGAAGTGTGTATTTTTTTGAAATAAATATTTTATTTGCTTTTATGATTTGTTTTTTATAATAATAATCGGTATAAGTATCATACTAGGATTGTCTCCTGTGTCCTGTGTCCGTTTACAAACATACAAGTTCACATACACATCACACACACATATACACGGAACAACAACTTCTGCATCACACAAATTAATAATTGATCAAAGTCAAAGTCAAAGTCAAAGTAATTATTTTGATTAAACCATAATTTGGTACTTTTGAAACGTCAACAAATACAAAATAAATAATAGTCTGCCAGTCAGTCCGTCAGTGAAGCTAGGTGAAGCTATGTGCTCATTCCAAAATGTAGATTCGAATGGAGAAGGACGAGCAAGAAACTCCATTAGTTACTCTTTTTTAAAAGAAAGTATGTTCTACATTACAATGTCTCTGATACATATTCCAATACTGTACGTATATGTGAGAACAATGCAAAGACACGCTTGAGGCATTATAGGTACTAATTACAAACCTTACTAAAATAAAAAAATCTTATAGTCTAACATGGTGCTCACATATGCATACTGACAATCCATAGAAATAGTGCTTCTATACAAGAAAAAGGAAACTCTTTGTTTCAATAAAGAAAGAAATGCTCGATGCCATAAGGAAACTCAAGCTCACTCATTAACCTTGTCGCGGAGAATCTAACGGGTTACCGGTGCTCCGGCTCGACGTGCAGGAGAAGGAACGGGGTGGTTTTAGTCAGTAAGAGTCTGACACTCCCTCCCGCCTCGTAGTAGCAGTAGTTGTCGTAGCTTGGACTACGGCGTAGCCAGTACTACTACGGCGTAGCACGGCTACGTGTATCGATAAAACGCAACCTTATATCTACTACAGCGTAGAAAAGGGGTAGACAGAAGTCCTCATATATCCCACATGTAATAGGGGGTGAGCCTATTTGCATATACAGGGCATAATTCCAGACTCCGTGATAATACTGGGATTTTTTTTTACAAACCCAGTAATACTTTGCCCGACCCGGGAATTATAACCCAAGACCCCTTGACTGGCAGTCGCACTTGCGACCACTCGGTCAACGAGACAGTCTTCTGATAAAACTAAGCCTTTTGCTTTGGTAGCTATCTCCAACCTGTCTGGCAAATGTGGAGATTTTATTTGCAATCTTTATTCCTTTGCGATTCAGAAGCGTAGCGTCAGAACTAAAAAGCAACAACTCACATAAAAAGGCAATAGAAAGTAGGTATGGTAGGCAGCATTATTACTCATATAATGAAGTAATAAACAGTAGGATACTTACCAACTAGTCGAATTCAATACTTTTTTCGAACTGTCAAAAACGACAGTTTTCTATGAATTCTATGACTAAGGAAAGTACCCAATTTCCTAAGTTACTATAACTCGGATACATTGATATATTTATAATTACAACAATAAAAAACAAAAATCGAAGTAAAATTATTTTTCAATTTCATTTTCAATTGCCTCATATTCAATATTTTCACCCCTTATAATTCTTATTTTTAAAATAGTATCTTATATAACCTTGTTGAATTTCTTCATGTACCTTTCTGTAATACGTAATAACGTAGTTATTAGTCATTGCGTTTTATTATATAGTAGTTATCAAACATTTTTTATATACTCGTGTAATAGATGGCGCTGAACGCTAATTGAAAAACAGTAAGAAATAAGAATGAAACAAAAAACATGAACATCAATGTGAAAACAGCAAATATCTATCTTTCATTTGTTTCCCATTGTCTAAGACTTTAGTCATTGAAGTTTAGGGTGTATTTTAGACCTTAGCACTCACGTACTTAGATCTAATTTCAAAAATATAAGCAATAATGTACCTATGTGTTCACATATCAAACGTATTAACTAATAATGCGGACATAAAGTATATTCGTGAACTGACATCAAGTAGTAAGTGGCCAGCCGGCACCTAGGCAAACGTCTGTAACGAAACCATAGCGCGATTTAACTTGAGCCCAACGCCATCTATCGAGCGAGGAGACAACTATATAAATGTGACGTGTTGTTTCCGCGGTAAGACGTCAATGAAACATGAACTACGTGAACAATTCTTTTTGTATTGGATAGTTCATTTATCGAGGAATATATATATGTTCCTCCTGTCGCGGAGAACCTAACGGGTTACCGGGGCTCCGGCTCGACGAAGGAACGGGGTGGTTTTCAGTCAGTAAGAGTCTGACACTCTCTCCCGCCTCAACCAAGCGGTAGTAGTCATTCGATGATTTTCCCCGCTTTAACAAAAAAAAATGTTCCTCCTGTGTAGGTACACTCGGCTACACATCGAGCTTTACATAACCAGTATAAACTGAACGTTAAATGTGCGGAAAGATGATGCGACGCGATACCAGGATAAACTGGTTTTGTATAGATTGATGTGTGGCTATCTGTACTATCTGTGTGTTGTGCATAAACTTAGGAATACATAAATAAATTTCTTTTGGTGTTCGATACTTACTTCATTATATCGAGGGAGGCTATAAAATGTCATGTCAATGTCATAGCCAATTATAGAATCCGAGCAGCTAATAAAACCGTGGCGGGCAGTTAGTTCTTTTTATAATTATCATGAGTGATATAATAGTTAAATAATTACACTAGTTTACACGGTTTTCATACCCCAGCTGAAAGTTGTCATTTTATTTTGTGTTTAGGTAGAACTATCCAGAAAAAATATTAAAAAAATCTGTCACGTCTGGTTTGAATAATATTTACTTTCTTGAAGGAAATAATAATTCTCTCCATAGCATTGGCGAACCAAATGGAAGGTAAACTTTTTCTCCTGATGACCACTGGAGTAAGATGATTCTGTAGCTTTCGCAAAACACGTGAGGCATTTTATCTTAATTTGCAACAGGAAATCCAAAATATTGAAGATAAGCAGTTTTTAACGAATCTACAATAGGTCTTCTCTTTTTTGTAAATATAAACTCCACAAACATAACAAAAACGGTCAGAACTTTGTTTACACTTCCTGCTAGCCATTTTAAATCAATCCAAAGGAAAGTAACTGTCGTTTGAAGCGAACGAATAAACAATAAAATATCACCCGCACGTCAGGTAGTTAAAAAAAACAATTGACTGCAGAAAAAAAAACTGACGTGATAAAATATTTCTGCTAACACTTTTAGGTTTAGGGAAGGTAGATTAACATATTGACATACATTCGGTTCGGGGTATAAATAAAAAGTAAAATTTTGTAAACTAGTGTTATCAGTAAAAGTCTGAAACTCACTCTCGCCTCACCCAGAGCGCCGTTTATTTTCTTTTTTATGCCGTAAGCCGGTAAACGAGCTGACGGATCACCTGATGGTAAGTAATTGGCGCCGCCCATGGACACCTGGAACACCAGAGGCGTTACAAGTGCGTTACCAACCTTTTAGGTATTGTAATTTGTAACGCCTCTGGTGTTCCAGGTGTCCATGGGTGACGCTGATTGCTTACCATCAGGTGATCCGTGTGCTCGTTTACCGGCTTATGCTATAAAAAAAAAATCAAAACGACTGAAGGGATCGATTCGAGATGAAATTTGGAACAGGGACAGATTATATTCTGGCATAATACATAGGCTTCTTATCGCAGGGGGACGCGGACGAAGCCGCTGTCAGAAACTAGTCTAGTGTACTTCCGCATCACTATCTACGAAGTCGGTTAGCAGTAGGTACTGACATAGGTGGCATACATATCTATAACCACCATTCCATATCTCTGCCTTCACTAGCAGCAGATATAGAAAAATAAATAAATTTATTTCCAAAAATATAATTCGCACATTGATAACAAAACCACAAGTGACCGACAAAAACCCCACTGCGATATTACCTAAGTACTTAGTTATCTACATTTAGTTCTCCTGCTGGGCTCCTATTGATGGTAGCGTAATGTTTTATACTACTGTACACTATAAATTCTAAATGTAGCCATTTATAATTTAGTCGAAGTAAAGTCGATGTATGATTATTTAAATTTAAAAAATACTTAACTATAAAAAATGAATTTATTATTACTCTACCTGATAATTGATTTCATGACTTGTAATTCTCGGTCTATCTAACTAAGACCTATGACTCCTCTGGTGTTGCGGGTGTCCATGGGCGGCGCTGATCGCTTACCATCAGGTGATCCGTCTGCTCGTTTGCCTCCTATTCCTTAAAAAAAAAGTATTCGTTTAAAAAGTATTAAACACTAGCGACCCGCTCCAGGTTCGCACAGGTGCAATATGTATGTATCAATCAATACATAGTATAAAACAAAGTCGCTTTCGCTGTATGTCCGTATGTATGCTTAGATCTTTAAAACTACGCAACCGGGTAACCGGGGCTCCGGCTCGACGTGCAGGAGAAGGAACGGGGTGGTTTTTAGTCAGTAAGAGTCTGACACTCCCTCCCGTCTCACCTAGGCGGGAGCAGTCATTCGATGATTTTCCCCCCTTAAAAAAACTTATTATCTTTCGTCGTAGTAGTAGTCGTAGCTTGGACTACGGCGTAGCCAGTACTACTACGGCGTAGCACAGCTACGTGTATCGATAAAACGCAACCTTATGTCTACTACAGCGTAGAAAAGGGGTAGACAGAAGTCTTTGCATATACAGGGCATAATTCCAGACTTCGTGATAATACTGGGATGAACTCGCATAAAAAGGCAATAGAAAGTAGGTATGGTAGGCAGCATTTTTACTCATATAATGAAGTAATAAAAAGTCGTGTACTTGCCAACTAGTCAAATTCAATACTTTTTTCGAACTGTCAAAAACGACAGTTCTCTATAAATTTTCTACCAGGTTGTGTATAGTGACGTCACGTTTTTTAGCGTCAAACAGCGTACTTATTTCTTAAAAAATTCTGGAAATATACTAAAATGAATGCTATTAATGTATGTTAAATACCCTTCTGTATAACCAGTGTTCACAAATAAATTGATTTGATTTGATTTGATTTGAAATTGGTCATAAAATCAATTAATAAAAGTGTAATTGCTTTTT